TGTAAACCCCGACAATATGCAGTCCCAATCCTCTAGCCGTGCCCCCCGTCGTTCCCAGAGGAACACCGTCCTCCGCCATTCACGTAGGATCGCTGCCCGCCGCCAGGTCGGCAGGCCGCCAAAGTGATTCGCCGTTTCGGAGGCTGCCCGGTTGCACCAGCTGTGTGAGTAGTGAGCTACTCGCTCCAACTGGCGAGGAGACAGTAGGAATACACGGGGCGACAGTGGTGGACTGTGTAGGACCAACTAGAATGACAAACCAATGGTCAGGAGTGGCAAGTTGCTGCGGTGTGGTCCGAACGAAGTTTTGGGCATTTTTCCGTCTTTTCTATATTTCTTTTCCTTTGTTACTTTTCACTTTTACCGATTTATTAGTTCCTATGCCTTCCCACCCAATACGATACATTCATTAATCAGTACTTTTTTACAAACCAGAGCCATAAGAACTCACTCATTTGCTATTGTTCCACTCTGTATGCAAATAGCCGAAACATAACGCGAATTACTCACTGCCCACCCGTGCCCTCCCAGCTGGCAGATTTCCTGTCGGCTTTCCTGCGCGGATGTTTTTGGCTCTGCATTCTGAGATAAAAAAATACCATGCGGTATACCTCCCCTCCCCCCCCTTCCGGCAAAGGCCTGATGCCATATCCTCCCGCGCCCGTACGGGCTATAAAATTACAACTTGCTTCATCCCGGGGCACTACGGGGCACCCCAACACCCTACAAGTGTCAGAAATCTGGCTGTAGCGCTGCTAGTATGCCAACCGCAGCACGATGAGTGAGTCATGGTGAGTTATTGCCTAGTGTATTGCGAAGCACCAGCTCTCACTTGTTAGCCGCAATCGCAAAGATATGACTCCTGCCTCGGGAATTTAGCGCTTATTCTTTTTATTTCTTGTGCTTATGGGGTGGAAATATTTAGGTTTAGTTTACCCAGAACTATGCAGCGCACCTGCCCGAAATACCGCCGAAATGAACCAGGAGAGGGGTTAGAAGACTGGAAATGAGAGGTGGTGGGGAGGGGAAAGTGGGTACTGGAGGGGCACTAGACGTAGGGTGGGGAATCGGAATGGGAAGCGGGTGAGGGGTGGAACGGAGCGAAAATAGATAGAGGGGGGCGTGGACATGACAGCGGGGAGAAGAGAAGGGAAGAGAAGAATACGAGGAAGGTAGGAATCCGGGAGCAGTTTTCGGAAGCAGCCAGGCTGACCCGCTCATCGCCTATAGATACACAGTCTGGCCAGGCCAGGTAAAGGTGAGACTGGCTAGGATGATACGGGAGCCTGGGCACTCCGCCAGGCTTTCATAATACACTGTATATTTTTTGAATATATTGTCAATGCAGGGCAGATATCCCGCCGCTACAAGAAAATATCCCCAGACCCCCCCAAATGTCATCGAATACCTGCCTATATCTGCAGATGCCCACGGAGATAATATTTCGAGCTACTTGCAAATTTTAGCCGTTACTATGCTCGCCACACTCTCACGATAGTTGGTTTTCTTGTTGGCATAGTTTCTGGGAGCGCGCTTTGGCCCCGGGTGCGCTGTGGCTGTGGCGTACTTTAGCTTCCACGCTCTCCGTTTGGCTTCCCGGGAAGGCACTTGTGCCGCGGGAATGCGCGGAGGTCTTGGAGCAGCGCATCCGCCTGTAGGAAGGCGGAAACGCTGGAATGGAAGCAGAAAGGCCCTGTGGAAGGCCAGCGGCTGTGGGCAGCGGGAGCTTTGTCTTTCCTTTCCTAGCTTTTCTTGCTTGCCAGTGTGTGGGAGACGTACCCGGAAGGTTAGGGCTTCGTTGTTTTAAACGTCCCGATTGGCGGGGGCTGTCGTGACAGCGAAAAGTACGAACAACCGCTGAACATTAAACAATGGTGGGCAACCGGCCGAGCTAAGGCGCTTGGGGGGAACGAGCGAATGATAGGCTGCGAAACTAATCACCATGTGAAACGATGCAACCAATGGCACACAACAAACACCACGAAACGAAACGAGGCGAAATGCCAAGCTCGCCCACGCGAAACGATCGCACAACCCACGAGGGGGGGGACTCTTCCCTCCGCCTAACTCACTCTATCGCGCACGCCAAACTAACGGTAATGACAGGAGTACAGATCAACCACAAATACAAAGAGGTCCTAAGCCCTCAGGTACGCCCCCCCACACTCGCAAACAAGAGAAGCTAACAAAGGAAAGACAAAACTCTCACTGCCCATAGCCTCCGGACATTGACTTCCCAATCTTCCCTGCGGCCTTTCCACTCCCTCAATTTTCCTTCCCGAGGATCTATTACTCCAAGACTCCAGCGCATTCCCGCGGCCGAAGAGAGATCTCCGCTTGTGGAACCCAAAGTGCGCCCAAAAGCAAAGTGCGGCCCTAGAGACTATGCGAACAAGCAGGCAAACCGTCGCGAGAACATGTTCAGCAGCACCCTGCCATTTCCAACAGATTCGTTGTTTTGCTCGTGGCTAGGTTGTGGCTAGGGTGCCCCAACCCCCGCATCCCCGCAATCTCGCTTCTCCGGAGCTATCTTCCCGAGTGCCCGCCGGCTCAGCACAACCTTGTTGCTCCACATCACTTTATATTTTAAGGCAAATTTGTGCTTATATATATGCTTATTATAAATATATATATAACACCCTTAGTATATAAAAGGAATATATCGAATCTAAAGAATTAGGTACCTCAAATGACAGTAATATTGTGGACAGCGGATATACTACTGGTATCATACTGGGTAAAATATTATGTAGCATTGTGAGATACCAGTATCAGAGAAGTTTCAGAGATATCAAGCAAGTTAGGTTTTAAATATCATATCCAGAAGTAATATTGCGTTAAGCAAAACGTTATGTTTAGGCAGGATGTGGTGTCGAACGGTCGGGCACGCAGGAGGAGTGCTCGCGAAAAGCGAGCTTGCAAGAATGAGGGGGTTGTGGCGCCCAAGCCACAGCCTCGCAAACACTCTTGGGGGACCTGACGGGAGCTTTAGGGCCCGTTTGGCATGCCAGAATTTGGACTTAAAATCCGGGTTATCTCCTAAGTCTGGACCCTCAGTCTAATCCTATTTGGCAGGTCAGGACTTGGACTCGATTTTCACCCTAGGATTAGATCAGGATTTCGAACTAGGATTTTCTCTAAACAAAGACACTTGTCACAAGGCAAACTCAAGAAGGCATTAGCCCTAACTACTTTCTTAGCTTGTAAAGCACAAGCAAAGCACATACAAGTACCTAGATCTTATCTTTATTATTTTACATCGGATACACAAGTCCTCCCTAGTCCTAATCTAAATCCTGTCATGTTTGGTATGGCTAGTTTACAAAGTCCAGACTTTGCAGTTTTCGGACTTTGGTTTTCAAGTCCGGACTTTAAGTCCAAATCCTAGTCTAATCCTGGCGGGCCAAACAGGCCCCAGGGTATCAGAGCCTCTTCCTTGTGCGATAAAATCGCATGCCGAATCGATTCTTTCGGTTCCCACGAGGGGAGTCAGTTTGTTCGGCCCTCCGCCCCCACACCCGAGTGTTAGACTTATCTTTTTATCTAGTTTGTCATTACAGTAAATCTGGTATGGTAAACCGCTCGCTTAGAAGAGAGGAGGGTACTGTAGCATACTTTGAGCCAACAATTTCTACATGGACCGCCAAATTTTGGCTTTTCACGCTTAGATAAATTTACCGTGCTGGCATTATCAAGCCAAGGAAGGCACCTAGTCTATCTCCCCCGGCGAGCAGGCCAGTAACTGCGCATAATGGGTAGTGTGATTAGCGACCATGGGATAGCAGTTTCCAGGAATTCCTGTTTCTCTCTTGTGTGAGTATACATGATTAAATAAGCTTGGTGAAAGCAGCTTCCATTTGATATCGCTACCAAAATCCTACCTATTTTGCCTAAATCTTGCCATAAACTACTGGTTGTGTGTGCTAATGTTCCTCAATCGAGCCCCCCCCATTTGCGATGCAATATTGTACGGCGCACCGGGTCGTCAAAGGGTAGGAAGAAAGACCGATAAAGTCAATCTGGTTTCGCGGTGTAATGAAGACCTAACAATTATGTCGTGCTAATGCCTCCCATAAGCCTTCGGCATGGTCGGGTTAGCCGTCTTTCTACGAGTGCGGCCGATAGATATATTCGTCACGTGAGTCTGATAAGAAAATTTCGGTGCGCCTTTTGGCTGCGATGTGTCCTTAGATAAGGCACGTGACGAATATATTTATCGGCCGCACTCGTACAGAATTGATTCGGGTACGAATGTGGGTTGCTGAACCGTCAAGGATTAAGTGTGATAACACTTCTTGCTCGATTGATCAAAATACATGCCAAATTCATTAATTCTCCTACGGTAGAGCAGGTCAAGGCCCCCGGAATCCCTTAGCGTCCGGCTCCCACCCTCAATGCCCGCGGGAGTGTTAGATGTTTCTCTTATTTTTTTTGCTCTTTGCCTCGTTGTAGTAAAGGAAGTATAAAGTTAGTGGAGTGCTCATTTAAATGACAGAGTGGTGGGTAAGAATTGTGTTATCCGCACGGGTCTAATCAGCAGTGAGGGTGCAGCCCCCAGTTTGTACTTGATCCCAGCACTTACCCGTAGCCAAGTCGGTGGCGTTTGTGAACACGATCACTACCGGATTTCCACACACAGACTGCCAGGCCCCGCCTCCTCTTGCTTGGATAGCACGCTATTATTGTCAATCTAAAGCGGGAGGAAATTTAATGGTACTTCATGGCTTAGCTGGTTGTGCGAGCACTGGTGCTTTAGCATCAGATTAACGCCCCTATCAACAATTTCCGTGCCCGGTAATTTAACCTTTATGGCCCCCGCACCCCAAATCACGTGTTACATACTGTACTTCGAGGCAACGCGGGGTGGGGTTCCATCATGGGGCAATGAGGCTGAAGGAACAGACCCCAGCCCCCTGTTCGTTGATCCCCCCTCCTGTGTTAACCGAAGAAAAACTCCTGAAGCACCACTTCCTCCACCTGAATCACCAACAGCATCCTAGAATTGACCTCGCCCTCGCTACCCAAATCGATGAAAGATGCAATTTGAAATCTGGCCCTCCAAATCCTACCTCGGTGGTCCTCACCGAGCCCGCGCCCGCGGAGAGAAGAAATAAATGGGCACTCGTGCAGAAGAGAGATACCCTAGAGCAGTTCCGCGAAAAAAATTCATTTTCCGCGACGCAGAAAGGTTTAAAGGCTAAGTGAATAAAGTTAATGATGGATCGTCTGGCACAAGTGGTGAAGGGGCAGGGACCGTGCTGGTCAGTGACGGAGATGAGGGCACGGGAAAAAAGATACATCGGAGTCAAAATGACCAGTTCTTTGCCGGGGACCTAATTGGAGGGAAGGGGTATGCTGCGCGTTGGTGATCCAGAAAGGAAGAGAATGTGGTTAGGCGGTGCGGGTGCGGGGAGTAGTGATGAGAACAGAGGTGGGGTGGGGCAGAGCAGGAAGGCAGGGATTAGGAGGCAGTAATATCTGCGCCTAATCCTGGGCATATTATAAGGAGTATTACAAACTGGGCATATAAGGTTCCTGGGAGATTGCGGCTGCAGCGGTTAACGGTAGTGAAGTTGGCTGATGGGAATAGGGGTTATTAGCGGCAGGGTATGCCTCCAACTCCTTCGTTGAGCCTCAAGCAGTTAACATGTCGCCAGTCAATGATATCAACCCCCCACTCCCCCACCACCCCGTCCTCCATTCCTCTGGCCCTAGCTTAACTCTCCGCCTGCGCCACGTAAACAGCACAGCAATAAACCTGCCGCATCCCTATACCTGCGCAGGACCCATTTCAACCGCTCCCCCTCGACCCCTCTACCACAAGCATAATCGCCCGGCAGGCGCAAATACTTCCACATCCGCTCAACAGCCACTATTCTAAAAGGTTACTGGGATGTATGGCCACCGCGGGTTCAGAGGTCAATAGAGACCTTCCGCATCTCCCGAGGGGGAAATAAAACTAGCAGGGTATTTGAATTGGAGGTACTCACATAAAAGGACGTTGTGCGGGGGAAAGACCAGGATGGGCATATGGTTAGTGCCCTTGAGAACAGCGGCACTGCGAGTCTCCCCAACGGTAGCCAGAGTCGGATCGTAAATATATCCGATCACGCCAGGGGCGCCGGGGGTGGTAGGCATGTCCTGGTTGGTGAAAGGAAGGACAATTCAAAGCCAGTAAGGCCGCTCGAGTGGTTAGTTACCGCCATCCGTGTTATCATGTTCTCTCCGCTGACTGCAGGTTCTTACATGGCGGGTGAGCGGGAGAAGGGCTCTTTGAGTGTAGGTGTGTTTACATTTCCCCCCCTTTATATGGCCGGCTATATAATTCAGGAATAATAGCTACATGTTTGTAGTGTATTTCCTCGGTTGTGCTATTTACCAGAATTGGCCGACATCTTGGATTCTGCTGGGGAGAGACCCAGCGATAGGGAGGATGGGGAAGGAAACCGGCATCGTAGCTATTGGAAATGAAGCCATGGAAGTTAGCCTTTGCGAGATATAGTCTTAACTTGACCGGAGAAAATTTATGGTGAAAGATTTTGTAGAAATATAGTACTTGTATATAATTACCAACAACACTCTGCAGTAATTGTAACTCCTCGATTGACTCCAGACTTGGAGACATACGAACCATCTGTATCGTGTTGATCATCTGCTTTCCCATGTGCCCCACTATAGCATTGAATCAACCGCGATGAATGAGAGTAAACTGGGAGGGGGGGGCACGCCGAGGTTCTAGGACCCTACTATCGCAAAACCTAAGTGCCAACACCGCAAACAGTGCTGCAACTCTAAAGAGAGTATGTTAACTCGGGAGCTATAAGGCGCTGTCATAGTGGACATAGCCGAGGGATCCGGAATATGTGTCCCAGCTCCGTTGGCCGTGCCCTCCATCGCTCATGGAGCGCCACAGTCCCCCGGAAGGGTGGCGTTCCTACAGAGTGATTCATGATATTGCGGGAAGCTTGGCTGGAGGAGGGGGACAGGAGTGGACTGCTGGTGTCTGCCAGCGCGGGACACGGGGGGGTGGGAGAGCACGGACCCCACGACAATCCATACTACCATCATTACCCGGCCGAGAGGTTCCGCCATAGGAATAGGAACAAAGGGAGGCCCTAGAATGGATCCGGGGATGGTAGACCTCCTTGGCTCCTCTCAACCGCAAACTAACCGCTCCAGCCAGACTGGCTCGGAGACACGCCGAAATACCAATCAAGCTGCCCAAGGCAACACCGAAACCGACCCCGAGATAGACACCGAGATAGATCCACCAGCAACAAACCAAGCTACCCAGGGCGACACCGAAACAGAAACCGAGATAGACTCTACACTAAAGCAACCGAGCTACCTAGGGCGGCACCGAAACAGCCACTGAGATCGACACTGAGATATGGTAAAATTCTCGCTTGGAGGAGAGGGAGATACTGTACCGGCAGGTTACTTCTAGCCGTGTTGAGGGCGTTTGTGTCTAATTTTGTGTTTTCTCGCTTAGATACAGTGCTGGCATTCTCGAGCCAAGGCCGGGCACCTATCCCCTGTAGCAGTCGACAGGCCAATAACTGGGCACAGTGGGTAGTGACTATGGGGTAGTAGTTTCCAGGAATTTGGTTCTTTCTCCCTCCGCTGAGTATATGTGATTAAAAAAGCTTAGAGGAAACGGCTTCTGTTGAATATTACTGCCGAAATCCTACATCCTTTTTGTCTAAACCTTACCATAAAATACTGGTTGTGTCTGCTAATTTCCTGCAGGCAAGCTCCCTCACCCTCAACCCGGTGTTGTGCGGTGGTGTGTCGGAAGATTTAAAAAGAAAGTGGTAAGGATAATGTGGCTTCGCCGTCTAATTTAGCTAGTTCTATGGTAAATTTCCTCGTGCTTTTGCGTCACGTCAATCCCTGTCAATCACTTTCAAATGCACAACCGCTCGCTCACCTGGGGACTTTTGCGGCTCAAACCGCTTGTTGATTTACATGCCACCGTGTAACATGAAAAATAAACTCCTCGAGACCCACTTCTTCCCCTTCGGCCACCATCGGGGCTGGGCGTATAAGCTTCACAACACGGAGACCGAACACTTGTTAATGGGAAGAAGTATTCTGCGCATCTGCGCAGCCATTCGAACGGGGTTATCACGCGTGGGGGCCTCGGGTGATTTAGATACGAAGAGGGTGAGGTTGGACAGTGAAGGTACGGGGGGTGGTGGTGAAGACATGGGGAGGGTGGGGACGGAGGCGGAAGGTGGGGATCAGCAGGGAGCTGGGTCTTCGGGAGATTCTGAGGAGTACTACAAAATAGACACATAATGTTCTATGGGGGTTGCGATCGGAGAGCTTGACGGTAGCAAAGTTTGCGGATAGGAATAGCCATCGGGGGCAGCTTAGTATATATACCTCCCACTCACCCCCCCACTGGGTGTCAAGCAGCTAACCAGGCGCCGGTCAATGATACCAACCCCCCACTCCCACCCCCCTTCCCCGGGCCCCGGCTCAACCCTCCGAGTGCGCCATGTGAACGGCACCACAAAACACCGCCCACATAGCTATGACCGCGCAATATCCATTTCAATAACCCCCCTTCCACCCCTCCGGCAGAAACATCAGCACCGGCAGCAAGCGGAAATACTTCCATATCCACTGGACAAGTACTATTCTATTAGGCAACCCAGATATACGGTCACGCCGAGGTGTAGAGGTCAATTGAGGCCTTCCACTTCCTCTCAAATAGAAATAAAGCAGGTGGGGTGTTTGCATTGGAAGTCCTCCCACCAAAGGTGGTGGCGCGCGGCAAAGACGGGGGTGGGCACGCGACAATGGTCCTTAAGAGCAGTAGTACCGGGAGGGTCGCTACCAGCGCCTAGAGTGGGATCGTAACTATCATATATCCAGTCATGCTAGGATCTTCCGCGGTGACCGGCATGCCGGCCTTAGTGGAACAAAGGAAAATTCAAATCCAGTAAGGGTACTCGAGCAGCTAGTTAGAGTCATCAACGCTCCCGCGCTCTTCCCAGGCTACGGGTCCTCTCTATGGCGGGTCAAGGGAAAAAGGACTCTTGAGGATAGATGTGTTCACACTCCCTACCCCCCTTGATATGGCAGGCTATCTAATAAATGGGGGACACCCATGAGTAGGGAATGCACTTGCGCAGTTGTGCCGTTTACTAGGATCGGCTCACATATTGGATTCTCCTGGGGAGAGTCACGGCGATAAGCAGGGCGGGAAGGGAAACCGGCATCGCAGCTATTGGAAGTGAACCCGTGGAAGTTAGAATTTGCGAGATACAGTGCTAGCTTGGCCGAGCGAGAATAGTATTTGTATATAGCTACCAACAACTAGAATCCACATTAAATGTAATCCCTCCATTTACTCCACACTTTGGACACATGAGACCCACTAGTATCGTCTTGACCTTCTGCTCTCCCGTGTCCCCCGCTACAGCCCTGAATCAACAATGATGAATCAGAGTGAGCCGGGGGGGGGGGGGCGCGCGGAGATTCTTGGACCTGCTATCGCAAAACCCAATTAAGTGCCAACAGCCTGGCTGTAGTGCTGAAACTCCAAAGAGGGTATGATAATTTAGGGCAACAAGGCGCCGTCGTAGCGGATACAAGCAAGGAATCCGGACAATACGTGGCCCCACTCCAGTGGCCGTGCCCTCCATCGTTGACGGAGCACTGCAGTCCCCCGCAAGGGTGACATTCCTACAAAGCAATTGATGATATCGCAGGCAGTTTGGCTGGATAAGGAGAGACAGGAGTGGACTACTGGTTTCTACCGGCGCGGAATACCCTCGGAATCTCTACGGGGACACTGGCAGACCGCGCGGGACTAGGAAGGGTGGCGGGGTACTGCCCATGAGTGGCGGGCGAAGTGATGGAGTATGGTATGGAGGAAGTGCTGGAAATTGGGATACACTTCCTGGAGATAAGGTGTGCGTATGCCAGGTCGGCTATATATATCTTGCAGGCTACATGCCAGAATAAAAACACAGAAAAACCCAAGAGCCCGATCGCCGGCAGAAGCGCGTCTACATGCACAGCAGCCATATTTCCACAACATTATGACACCACCTCTGTTCAATCGATTAAACGCAACATATCTTGCATGTCTAAGAGAATTCCTTGTATTCTCTTCTCCAGATTGTCACAAATGAACAATTCATTTGTTAGTATTTCTATTGATCGAAGAGTAAAAGCGGCGTAGGGTCTCGGCACTTCTTAAACGGGAAACTATGGTTTTTTCGCAGTTTTTCGGGCGCCACTCGAGTAGTTTTGAAGTTGTCGAAAACATTGGCTTATCTCCGTTGGCCCAAATATTTTTGTGTATGAAAGGTTGGCATAGTTCTGAAGCTTGTACCCGTATTTCTTTGTATTCATTGGGCAATCGGGGAAAGAAATTCAACTACTTCAAGTCGCCACACAAGCGGTGATTTCTGTCTCTACCACAGTACACAGTCCACGTACAGTGCCAGAAAATGAAAGCCTGGAGGGCATTAGAAGGTTCTCAAACCATACAACGGTACAACTCTATCGACTGTTAACAAGCTGGCTATGTTATTGCCGAAGAGAGTGAAATATGGCGGATCTGAAGAAAGCACCCAGTACGCAACAGAGGGGAATGAGAAGGCAACAGGCCCAAGCCATCCAACGGTATGATACATCCTCCCGCTGGCAATATCGCCCCCGTACCTGACAGCTGGGGAGCAAGAAGGTGCCGGGTCCGGGGACTGCAGAAGTCTATAGGGCCCTAGGGCTTCCTCCGTGCCTGCCAAGTTAGCATAACAAACACAGGTATCATCAGTAAACCTGGGATCCTTCGAGAGGGTTCGTGAGGGGCGCGATAAAACTCCGGGAGAATAAAAACTGAATGCTTTGGAAACCGCCAAGGGGCTGACGACGTTACGAGGGAAGCGATCCCAACCAGAAAGGAGTAGCCAGATGGTGGAGGCAGAGGTACTAGGTGAGCGAAAGCTTTGTAGATTATTCATCCAATGGATATTCCGTTGTTTGTCTTGCGGAAAAACCAATGGGGTATGCAATCATTTCTGAAAGAGCACTAGATGCCAAGTAGCGATTCTGGAAAGTGGTAGTGATGCAATGTGTTGTAAATCACCGGCACTCCAATTAACCCCTTGCCTATCTACTGAGGCTCAAAGGACTGAAGACTTTTCCGGGGGTGTCCGAAGTTTGTAATGCTTACGAGCGGGTTGATGAGCAAGACGGAAGGTTCTAGAGATTACTATGGATAAGTGTACTATAGATTTATATTACGGGGCAAGGAAAGGAAATACACGAGGAGGCAAGAGAGAAAGTAATTGGTCGGCAAAGTGGGGTAGAGTGATGTCTCTAGAATCATAAAGAAGCTAAAATGGGGGTAAAAGGCGGGGTCATGCGGATGACCAAGGAGACCGGTCTGAATGGAAGAAGTTATGATATGGATGGATATAAAGCCCGCTGCTTGAGAGGTAGTGGGAGAGAGTAAGGGAGAAACGGAGCAGCAATCAGAGAGAAAGTCAGAATTGAGTTACGGGCGACAGTCAGAAAGACAAAAAGCTTCCAATGCGCAGAACTCAGAATATATTATACGACTTCAATTCGTTTTAGGGTGAGCTACGAATCACTCCATGTCTTGGCGAGCTAACTAAAACTTCACCGGTCGTTCTTGAGGCAACATAGATGTCAGTGGCTCGGTCACAGGTGTCACCAACTATATTTCTTGCTCACAATTTGGATATGCTGGTATAGGATAATGATATTATTTCTTCCCTTTCTTGTAAATGTTTATGGAATCGTTGTCTTTCTGAGAGCTATGCGTGAGGCACTTTTGATTTCTTGTCGTTGGTGATATCTCGAATACTGCTTTCGTTGCTGCTATCTGCCACGCCCCTTTTCTTTCACGCAATGCTATCCCCTCTTTATACTGCTGATTACCTTCTAACCCCCACCTCTTGCTCCTTCTCCGAGCTTCTCTTAAGTTCCCTTTACCCCTCCTCAATCAACCAATCTGATTCCTCCTTCTGACCACATTCTCCAAACCCCGCTCCGGCTAGACATCTTATATTGTACAGGGATACTGAAAAGCCTCCAGAACATTCCATCCCCCATACAAATCGAATACACATAAGTCTGACAAATAGGAAACCAATACAAGACCACCTCTGGAAGCTTCTGGCATACCCGGGATGAATTGATATGGCTCGGGCTATCAAGTACGGGTGCAGTACCGGTGAGTTTCAATACCCTCTTTACAAATTCCCGCCAGATCCTAGCAGGATCTTACGGGAGCGGTTACACCCTCAAGCGTAGAAGTTGTACCCCCTGTTATGGCCACCGTCGGTGGCCATCCAGAGTGGTGTGCGTCCACGGCTGTCCACTTGGTGAGGGATGAGACCCCTGTGCCTCAAGAGCAGTTCCACTACCCCCTCAAAACCCATCTCGCATGCTAGCGAGAGTGGGGTTGGGCCCCGATCGTCCGCGGTATCCGGGGTCACATCGGTACGGGCGAGCAAAAAAGCAACAACCTCTTTTGCCCCATACCATGCTGCGTAATGCAGAGAAGTATCTTGATGGTAACTCTGCTGATTCGGATTGGCCCCCTCCAATAAAATCTTCACCACATCATCGCACCCACCGCTCGCGGCCCACGAAAGTGCGGTTCTTCCTTGGTTGTCTCCTTCGTCCGGGTACATACCCCCCCTTGCCAAAGGTATCCTCAA